ATACAGTGTAATAGATAAATCATAAATTTAATATTCATGATTCGAACAAATTAATTAGCATTGATATTTTTAACAGTTTTGACATTTCTGGTGAATATTATCGACGATTAGGTGAACGCAAGCCAATTAGGCAGTAGTCCGCAGCGCGATTTTAAAAATAATACACTGTAAAATTGAATATCGTTAAACGTTAACTTAGAAAGAGTTGAATATTCGATATTATTACAACGTGCGGTACTATCTTTGAATTTTGTTAGAGAACATATTGATTGTTTGCCATAGGTTATGTTTTTATTTGGATTGAAATTCTTCGCAGCGGAATGAGTTCACTGGATATTAATTCGCACCGACTATTTCAAAAACAATGCGAATAACAATTGAAAAGGGTCTTTAGAACTTTACAATGGAATTGTGATCGATGGCTACAGCTTATCAGAAGCCAGAGTAAACGTCTTATGAACATATAAATAAAAATATCATGTATATTATACATAATTATGTTTGTAGAACTTCTGAACTCCCACAAACCCACTCACACACCCGAGAATATATTAACTTACTCGTTGATTGTATCAGTCGCGCAAGAACACTGTATCAATCTAATGCAGACATGGCACTTAATGTAATTAATTATTCATTAGCCGCAGTCTGCCGATGAAGTTATGTATACGTATAATTATTAATTATATACATACGGACGGGTACTTTATATTGTACAAAGTTAAATATTTTGAAAACATTTCACCAAGCGCGCAAATACATATGTGTACGTGTGTGCTCGCGCGCGCACGTACGTATAAGATAAAGTACGTCGTTTTGTGCACATTAACACAAAATATTTAAAAAGTATTATATATAATAATATATTCGAGCCGGGTGATTTTTAAGGAATGCTCATTCTTTTTTATGCTTAAATCATGCATTTCTTAAAATCCTGATGTATAAAGAACGTATACGTAGTCCAGAAAATAAAGTACCAAGGAAAAATACCCATAGCGTTGAAATTTGGCACAAATATTCGTTGTAGGGTACTTATTGGCATACTAAAACTTCCGTTCGCTCAAGTGCAGTACACATTCGCTCTTCTCAACTACTAAAAAAAATTGGTTTCCTCTTTTTTATTTTAAAAAAAATATGAACTTAATAGGAAATGTACATCTATACAGTTTGCTTATTCGTTAAACAAGTATTTTTAATCGAAATATATTCTTGTACAATTTCCATAAAATAAAAATTTCCTTAAATAATATAATTAAGAAAATCCAATGCTCGACTATAAAACGTACCCTGGTCGAGACGATTTTACGAGCATAGCATTCCCCAGTCGACTGAATAATTATTGAAGTAAAAATGGTGTTTCCTTTAAAAAAAAAAAAAAACACGTTAATTCATCGGAAAATAAAAGCTCTACAGGTGTAATACACAAATATTTTCTATAAATCAGAATTTGGAAAATGAATAATTTTAGCACATAATAATATCGGTAATTGCTCTTAAAAAAAAATCGACCTGTACACGTGTGGCATCTCGAACAAAAGCCGTCTAATGATTTTGACGGATTTCGCGCACCGCAGCAACACAATATCTGTGCTCGAACGTTTATTATCTTTATGCGATCGTAAATTCGGTCGGGTTAGAGTTTGTTCTACCCGTATTACTGCACACGGAAATGTACATTCCCCTTGGCACACACTGGTCTTTCGCTTGCGCACGTGCAAACTTAATACGTGTGCGAACTAATTAACATATATATACGTAAATACAACATTTTAGTGTTCCACAGTACATATTAACAGTAATAATACGCACATGTGATAAACTTTATCACTGACGCGAATAGATATACACTTGGAACAGTCCTCGCGAATGTGTTTATCTAAAACGTATCGGTTTATTTGATTCGTTCTGCGCGCGCTTATTAAGCCAGTGGTCCCAACCCGTTTTCATCTTGTGCCCCCTGGTAAATTATAAAAAAAATCTCATTCCCTCCTTCCTCTTTAAATTAAAGTTTAGGCGATTTTTAGTCGTTCGAATCAAACTGTGTACCTATCAATATTGGATTAAACGCGAAAAGAACATTCCACTATCATTATAAAATATAATCGTTATCGATGTGGATTAATATGAAAATATATAACGATTTCAATTTTACACATTGTAAATGTAAAATCTATATATCTCGATTTTCGGTTCTCAAAGCATTTATCTCTGCAGCATTTAATGTATTCTGTACTGTATGTACAGAATACATTAAATAATAAAGTAAGTTTATCTTAACTACACATATTGCTGCTTTAATGTTGGTTGGTAGTTACATGTAGTTACATGGTAGTTATATGTATATGATTATGGCTATGAATAAAAATATTGGATTTTGGATCAGTAATTAAAAAAATATGAAAAGTTATCAAAACGGTTGCCATTCATTGTCAACCTTGACATTCATAGTGAGTGACAATAAAAAATACTGACATTCATGACTGACCGTATACGGGCTTCTTAATGCACCAAGATTGTTGTTCGATAACTTCGAGATCGGTTTTTTTTTTTTAACGGGGCGACACTTGTGCCGCACAACAGCCCAGTCAAAAGTTCCGAAGCCCTGAACGGTATTATTGTTGTAAATCGTATCGTTGCCCGTTTTGAATCACTGCGGTAGCAGCTGTTGTCACGGACCATTCGATCGAGGGGTTCGATGAATGGGAGTTATTGGAAGGAGGGGGGTGCAATAACAAAACGATGGCAGTCGATTGAAACGTTGAGCAAACCGAATGTTAACGCGCGCCGTTACGAGTTCCGGAAGAAACGGGCGTAGTAAACATTCGTAATACGATTTCTCTACGATATAAATGTAATAACAGGACGTGTATCCACCGTTGTCATATGCATGAGCGTGCGCAGCCATTACCGGCAGGGTAGTCATGTAGTACATAACACGTCGACATTTAATATTGACAACAGATTTGCATGGGGTAACTTCGTTTACTCGGTAATCTTCATCGGGCGATGGTCGTGGCAGATGGGACAGTTTTTCGGACCGCTACGGAAACCGTCAGCTCAACGGTAGTCGTCGTAGACCTCACGGTAACCTTAACCCGGTGCACAAACATATCGAGTATCCGACGGAAAATCCAACAATCGTTTTTCCCGGGCACGCTGTGTTTCGTTATCATTCTCGTCGGACTTGGGTCGTGGATGAACTCGCTGAACGCTACGCAACCAGTACGGCTTGTATACGTTACGGGGTAACAAATTACTGGTGACAGTGGCGGTGGGAAGTTTTTTCCACTTGAATTACACTAAATTCATGAACCACCCGCTAAAATTGTTTCCACTGCACGATTTTAAACGGCTACGAATTCACTGCCGGTATACATATTTATATTTATACGTCATTAAGTTGTATTTCTGTATTCCTCATTTCATATTATTATTATAACATGTTCAGTGTATGAGTATTTTACCGTAATAATTATTTTCATCGTTTTCTTTTTTTAAATACCACCTACCCCCATTTTTTCACGATTCACGTGATTCAAATATAACCCCTTTGCGCCGCCACTATCCGGTAACGTTTTCTAAATCCTAGATTTTCAAATGGCTTATTCTCTATGCAACGACCGAATTTATTGAGTTCATTTAAGTGTTCATTTAGTTCCCGGAACTTTATCGTTTTAATAATAATAACAATAATCGTGCGATTCATTGATTATATCACAGATTTAATAAAAATAATGTAGCATTTTATTAATGCAATATAATGTTATCAATATATTAAACGAAAACATTTTTCCTTAAATTTTAGCTGAACTTTAAAAAAAAAAAAAAATAATAAAAATTAACAAAATAATAATACCAAGATATGGAAATACTACAATTTAATAGTAAAAGTTGTATTTTATTATTTCGTTTCCCAATTATTTGTTATGAGGTATAAATATTACACTTGAGTTCCATATTTTTTCTCAATATATAAAATGTTAACAGTTTGAATATCTTTTACATATTTTAGAGAATTTACTACTAGAGTACAAAACTTGACGTAGATGATTCAATTTGCTTAACTTAAGTTGTATGAAATTATGTAGTCTTCATATATTATGGTTAAATCGGTTTATGGAAACTTTCATAGGAAAATTTTTTTTTTTTAATTTTCATGGTTATACGTTATCAAAGTTTCACATTAATCGGATCTTTCAAAATAAATTTATATATTATTTTAATTAAAAAAATAATACCGAGATTATTCATTGAAATTTAGTTACAGTAGAATGCAAATTATTTAACGCATTTACTATGAAAAAAAAATACATGAATATAAAAAATAAATAGTGCGACAGGAGTTTGGTGGTTGCAGAAACAAGTGGCTTGTAAAGATGAATTATTGTCCTTTTATATTTCGGAATCAATTTATCAATGAATTTGGTTTGTCGACAATAATAGCATTAGGCAAACGAAATTATACATTTTTATAGCAACATCACAACAATACAGTATAAAATGTTTAATTCGTTTAACCCTTTGAAGAACGTAATTATATAAAATCATAATTATAAAGCGATTTAACTTAAACTTCATTCTTTATTACCTTTAGAAATAAAAAAAATTATAAATACATTTTTTTGAACTTTTAAAAACTCAAATTTTGAGGTGGTTTCCCATATAAACCACTATGAGTTATTTGATATTACTTTTTAATAATATCTACATTTTTTACTATACTGTTTAGACATATATTTTATGTCTTTTAATCAAACAAAAAAAAAAAAAAACATTAAATTATATTATAAAAAACAATGTTACTTGTATGATATTCTTTAAAACAATTGTTGGTTTCATTGAGACACAATGCTACTTCACATATTGAACAGGACCATTTACTACGATGAGGTTCAGATTTAGAACTGCAATTTGCACATTTTCTTGATCCACTTCTAATAGGCAGATGATTAGCGGCATTGAAACGTTTTTCATATAATACTTTGGGCTTATAACTATTTTTAAATTTTAATGATTTTTTTCACTCTACGTAGTGAAGGCTTTGAATTACCAATCAATGCAGTGGCCATTGCTAAACGAAAATGTTTGAGTGATATTTTTTTCCCTCTATTGTGTACACTTGAAGTAAATAACATAAATGCGTTATATACAGCGAGATCGAGAAAATGAAAAAATATTCTCATGTACCATCTTTTGCTTTTGCGATCAATTTTGTATAAGGTCATCAGCATATCAGCTTTATCAACATACCCCATGTGGGCATTATAATCTTTTACAAGTTGAAGACAAACGATAATTTGTGTAGTTCCATCTTTTTGTTTTCTATTTACTTGACTTTCTTGAGTTAGATCATGAAAGTTCGATAAAAAATGAATACCTTTGTTATCTTTCCATTTTATTGCGATAATTCCAGTAACTGTGGCTTGCCATTCATATTGACCTCTCGATAATTTTTATCATCAGAAAAATTTTTGAGAAATCAATTCTATGTGGTCTTGTTGTACCACAATCTAATACACCATATTCTAATAAATCAGCCATCAATTTCGAAGAAGAAAAGTAATGATCAAAATAAACTATATAATATTTTCCGATCAAGTCACGTACCATATCTTTAATAACTCGAGCACCCAAATTTTTTTCTACTATGTTATTAGTTTTTCCTGTGTAAATTTTAAACTGACAAACATAACCAAATTCGTCAGCCCTTGTCCATACTTTATAGCCTCGTTTTGTTGGCTTATTAGGCATATATTGTTTATGTTTGAACGCACCGTCGCGGAGCTTTTGAAAAATATTTATCGCCAGCCGGCCGCGTGACACTCGAGAACGTGCGCTCTGAAGAAGATTATGAAATATGGTGAGAGGAGGAGATGGTGATGTTGAAGGACAACAAAAGGCCAAAGAAATGATAGAACAATTAATTATATGCCCTTGGGAACAAACCAAACTTATTATTATTAAGGTTTACAAACAATAAGTAAATAAAAACAATCTTATCTCGGGTGGTGGTGATAAGGGTCCAACTGATATTCGCTACACCTGAATCCTAGATGGCAGCGTAAATAAGCACTGCTACCAACCGGCAGATCGCAACGGACAACAATCGTGGCGATGGATGGCTTGTGTCGGGAACGAAGTTGGTACTACTGGCGTACGCGATGCGTACGACGAACCGGCTTGTAAAAAGAACCACGGGTGAAAACCACGTGGACGCCAACGAAACCAGAGTGATCACGAACCGAAAACAGGTTGACGAACGGGAAACGCACTCTAAGAGGGACTGTCTAACACGCACAAAAGCGAGTTCGTGAAATATGTGCACGGTGATGGCACAATACCACTGTCCACCAATTAACGGGGTGTAAGGACGCAAGGCCGCAAAAGTTACCATAAGGTCGACAATATCTAAAAAAAGACGCGTTGACACTACACGCGGTGACACACACACGAGATCGACCAACGGTCGCGGATCAAACGCACGACAGATGACAATCGCGTACAAAAAGGAATCGGCGTTAGGAAAATAACACACACGGAAAAAAGGCGGCGCAGGCGCAATAGTTATCGGCCGGCCAAGCGCGACGTGTTACGAAAAAAAAACAAGTTTTTCAGCACACACCACTGCGATCGACGGCCCGGGCGACCGGGTGCGCGTCACCGGTGGGGGTAAAAAAGAGGGGGTGCCAACGGTGGTCTTCGAGAATCCTCGACGCTCGTCGTGATGGTGCATAAACAGTTTAATACATTAAAGTGAAATTTAGATAAATACCATCCAAATCTATTTACAGGCATTAAAGAAGAAATATACGGATCTCGCATTTCAGAAATAGAACTCCAATAATCTCTATAACTAGAACATTTTTTTAATTCCTATAAGTATATTCATCCTCAAAAATTGTTTCATTCCATAAAGAAATACTGGTTTTGGGTTTTTTCCATGTATTTGTATTACGTATAAATTTATTTGGTAAACTAAATGTTCAATTAACGTCTCAAGAAATATTTCTTGAAACGCACTAATCAGATTTAATAACTTTTTCATTCACATCTTCTGTTGGTCCTATCGGTTAAACAAATAAATCATTTCTTTCGAAATGTCTAAATTCATTATTCCACCCTAACCCATCTCTGTGAATTCTAGCAATCAAACTTTCTTCGTCATCAGCCGAAATGAAATGAAATCATTAATATTTACATTTATTGTTTGATTATTAATCATATTATCAGTCTCATAATTTTCAAAACCAAAAACAAGACCATCATTAAATACTATTGGTAAATAATTTAAATCTACGTCCATGAAAATATTTTCGGAATTTGTAGAAGTACTTGGCACATTTGTAGGATTAAACTCAAAATCTTCTATATCAGATTCGCTGGACAGTATAGATTCCCCATCACTCGGAATTTCTTCTCACTCATTCAACATCTCATTAATTCTTTTTACTTAATCGAAATCCATATTACTGATAGAGAAAATTACCTACAAATTTATTCGAACAAGTGTAATAAATATATTGTATAATTCAATGAAAACAAATATATAACTCGTAAAAATATTCAGTAAGAAGTATAATAAATTATCATATCCGATGTGATACTGTATTATTATATTGTTATTACATGTGCACAGTGGTTTCATATTATAACCACCAAGAATAAAGGAAATATTTATAACACAAAAAGATGTATACAACAAATAAATGTTTACTACGTTCAGTATTAAATTTGACACAATTTTATCTTGATTTTAAGTCGATAACTACAATTTAGAACCAATTAATCACAAGTTAGAAACAGAAATGAATGCTTATTAGATTTTTCACCAAACCGACCGATAAAATTATCAAATTATAGTTTCGTACGAAGTTTAAAATCATTTAAAACAAACGGCTCAGTCGAATTGATTGAAATATGATGTAAAAGTGATTAAACGAACATGCTTTAGCGGAACCGATGACTTAAATTTATTTGTTAGTCGACGTTTAACTGTAGGTATACCTTGAGCTCGAAAACGTCAATGACGTAAAAACGACTATAAACCATTTACTGTACAGGAATACGATCCGTGCAAAGTAAAAAATCAGTGACGTTATCGAGATATATATTCGGGTAAAGTAGCGGCTGATAAAAAGGATTTACATTATTTCTTGAGCTCAACGTGTATGGTAAAATGTCGACTAACAAAAATTGTTTAAAGTTTGTTTAAGTCATCGGTTCAGCCGAAATATACCGTTCAATTTCAATCGTATTCGCGTCACATTTTAATCGATTTTAATAATTGTTGATTTTAAATTTTTTGTGTCAAGTAATTTGTAATATTTCATCGTCGAAATATCGGTATCGGCGCAGTGCGGTTAAACGTGTCGTTTCGAACGATCCAATGACATTGCATATCGTTCCACGGGCACTTCGTTAATATGCGCGCAGGACCAGTGGCGTATTTACGGGGGGGGGGGGGAGGGGGGGGATAGATCCCCCCCTTGACCTTTTTTTTTTCCTAGGTAGCTATAAGTTGTCTCATTTTCTCTAATATTCTAATATGATAATATGATAATATATTCTAATATGATATTACTTTCAAGCATGTATGTTTTCTGTTTTCTAAATGTTCTAGTCGTGGTAATTGTACCGCTTTGATAGTCTGATATACTAATCGCCACTAATCGTTTATCGTTGGCGGCATGTACGACTATCAGGCATATACCTATATTATGGTGTACTGTATTTTGTACGTTTCTGCGAATTATTTTTCATGCAAGAGTGTTTATAATAAACCCGATAAGCAATCGGTAAACAAAACAAAATGACCATGAAGATCGTGGATTAACCATAGGGCGGCCGGGCGGGTTTATTTTTAGAAAATTTGTTACTAGTAGATTTATGGCTAATGTATAACTATATATATATATATATATATATTTTATCTTATGATATCGTGATTCGTTAAAAGTAGATATGTACGGTCATTGGACGTTGACGGATAGCGACGCCGCGCCATTCCGAGTACTGACTTACTGCCGAATTGACTATTGTTCGACTTTATTTTTTGCGTCTTGTAAGTTGTAACTGTGAAGTTTTAAGACAATATGAGTAATATTCAAAAACAAAAAAAAACTTTATTTTCTTATTTTAGTACAAATAAAAAAATTTGTTTGGAAAATGATGAGGTAATTATAAAAATTAATTCTTATTTTGCCTTGATCCACACTAACCTCAATAGGTAACAATTTAGGGGATTTTAAAAATGTATATTATGTACGAATTAATGGATGTTAGGATGTATTATTATATATTTCATCCCCCCCCCTAGAAAAATTCCTAAATAAGCCACTGCGCAGGACACGTGAATCATCATGGCGTGATACGTCTTTTTGCGGGCTGTTTGTAAACTGCGGCAAAATTAACCTTTTTTCGAAAGTCGATACGCTAACTGCAGCAAGAAAAAAATTCAACAACGTTATACAATATGCGACAAAACCGACAAGATAAAATTATGTGCAAGCTACGTTTATTTGTTTTACATAATAAAGATATCACGTACTATACGATATTTAATAATGTTATGTCTTGCGTCTTGCGTGTTCCCGTGTTTAATTACCATTTGTTTTTGATTCGTATTTAAATTTAAATTTAAAATTATTTGACCCTATTAATTGTTTAGTCAGAATGGCTAAACATTGCTGTAAATTCCATCACGTTGAATCAAGTATTATCAAAAGTTAAGGAACTGATACTTAGTATGTTTTGTTAAAACTTTAAAAATAGGATTTACCTAGTTGTACGCAAAACGTAACGTAACATAATTAACTAAAAATTATACGTACTTAGGTATGTGCATAGTATACATATAGTATACAATATCGTAGGCCTATGTTCGATTTCGAACGTCGTGGCTTTCGTGCAATTATGTTGTTTCTATTGGATACATTTCTCCTGAATTCTCTATTTCCTGTGTTCCGGATGCTTTCTGACATTGTCATTTGTGCGAGGGTCTTAATCTGGTCTATATAGCGGGGGGGGGGGGGGGGTCGGCCTCTGCTTTTCTTTCCTTCGACTTTGCCTTGGATAATGCCCATTTCAATACCACAATGAGATACTGAATTACTCGAGATTTGCGATACTTTTATTCCGTTTTCAGCTTTCGCGGTCTTGCGGAAGAAAAACGAACGCATATTTCGGTCGATCGTTCTAGCGAACGAAAGGTGACCACGGACGTGGGGTCCCGTGCAGCAGTACCGTTCGCACATCCCTCGGTCGGTTTCAATGTTAACAACGAGACTAAGAAGTGAATTCTTGCGAAGAGTCCAGTGTGAATATTGATCTCCGCATTTTTTTTTTCCTACAACACGTCTCATCCCGCCAACCAACGGGTGCCAAGCCACAAGACTTGAAAATATCGAAATCAATGCGACACGGCACCTGCTGTTCTTGGGGACAATTTGATTTCTAGATGTACAAGCATGTTTTGAGCTGTGCTCGTAGCTATTGTTTAACCGATTCATTTAAGCATTACGCCATGCAACCCGCACCTTACTGTACTATTTCTAACTCGAACTTACCGCGGTTACTGTATCGTCCGAAGTCATGACGACGGCCGGTGCGCGCAGATTGGTCGGTGACAAATCCAATGTTTAAATATCGTTGCGACGACAACGGAAGTGATAATACAGTTATTACGACACCACGTACTGTCCCAAAATTAGCCGTTCGAACATTGACGTGGTTCATTAAAATGTTTTACTTAC